GGGAGGAGGAGGAGGACCATCTTCTGCTTTCGTAGACCTGCTGACACTCTTTGCTCTTGCTGCCTTCACAGAAATCCACTAATCCTAGTGGGTACGTGTCCCGTCCGATACCAGCCTAAAGTCAGATGTGTGAGAACGGAAGGGAGGTGTTTACCGTCATAAACACTCATTTCTATGTCATTTCATTTCCCAAAATCTAACAATGCGTTTTTGTTTCTGTTCAGTAAATAGGGAACGACACAAAGAATAAAAAAGCACCACCGTATAGCCTGTATTTTGTTATGTGAGCTTTAATACAGTTTTGAAACTGAAAATATATTTAATTTCAATCGTAATATTTTACGATTATTAAAATATTACGATTATTTAAGCTTTTATTCAGTAGAATTTCATTCAGGGTAGCCTAACAGGAATATGTATTATGTGCATCTATAATTGCATCCATCACAATAGGAGTCAAGAAGACATTTCCCTTCACATGCTAATGTATTTCTTAAAAAATAATTAGTCAAATTAATTTTAAATGCTTTTAAATATATTACATATTATAATATATATTTTTCCAGAAATCTATAGAAAAAGGGCCAATCTTCAGAATATTATTCTGTAAATATAATATTTATTATTTAGTTATATTTTTGCCAGTTTTTTGTTGAATTTTGAAATATAAAGTATATCATTTGAAAATATGTTTTTATTTTGTACATTTTATTTAAAAAATCTATAGATTTAAAATTAACACATCAAATAAAAAATAAATTTTAAAAAATGTATTTGTTTTTACTATGCAAATCCCATTAGAATCATTTCTTTGGCACTTGTGGGAGGCATGCGAAGGCCGAGTGGCATAGTGTCCCACCAGTGATAATGTACAGCCATATCACACTGCTATGTGTGATATTGTGTTTATACAACAGTTCGATGGCATAATCAAAAAAGAAAATCAAACGCAGAGAGTCTAAAAATCCTTTTGTATGAGGAACTTCGTTTTTCCATCATTCCTTCACATCTGCAGCTGACATCAGAACAGTAGAAGCCATTGCTAATTCACCAAATGTCACTTTACAGCTAGTATTTGAATGATTTTCTAGCGTAATGGCTAAAGTGATAACAAAACAGGTTATTTTGCTCACATTTCAAGATTATAATGATATGATCTTACACTCAATGTACCATTACTATGGTATAAATACAGCACTGCACCATAAAAAAGAATGACACTCACCAATTTTATGTTTTGATCAACTGTACTTTTTCTTTTGCATTCTTGTTGCTTTTTTCTCCACAAAGAGTTTATTATGCGGTCTCTGTCGCCATCTTGTGGATGGATAACATCAACCATTTTTCCAATCGTCAATGACAGGCTGATGGATGCTGACGCACTTTATCTCGGAAATTCTAAATATTAAAAATAGACACTATTCTTATAAATAAACCGCATAGATGCAATCTAAACAACTACATTCATGCCTAAAAAGCCTCAAAAGTACATTATGTTGTCCAACAGCTGCAATATTTGCCAAACTGTATTGAGTTTATTGATCTGGAGTAATACAGAAGGGTGAGGAGGCTGTACGAGTTCTAATTTGCAGAACATCACATGACTATCAGCCAATCAGATTTGAGAACCAGACAGAACTGTTATTTTACAAAAATTGTATAAACATATTATTCAAGCACATCATTCAATAATATTACTGAGAATATTGGTCATCACTCATCCCCCTCTCGCTATTGTATCAGCGACAGTCAGGGAAAAACTCAAACACTGGCTACCAGTTTAGAGGCAATCCAATTCATATTTAGGGTTGGGTTGATCTTGAATGGATTCTGGGTGGTGCAGTTTAAAGCAATGCTTACACAATGTTTAGAGATGCAGTCAAAATAAATCAAACAATCATGTTAGACAAGCATTCCAAAATGATGACACTGTGATGCTTTCAGTGTCATATTTATGTAATACCATAGTTTTAACTGCACCTCTAAACATTGTGCACACACTGATTTTAAGAGTGTAAGAAAAAAATATGAATATAGACATGAACGGGGGAAAAAAAAAGATTTTTTTTATCACTTACTCATTTTTTATCACCAAAATAAGAACTTCTGAATGTGCTCTCTACATGACATCCAGACTGAAAACTTTGCAGTTAAGATCTCAGATGCCCTATAAGATATCATCCTACATAGTGAACATCTATTCCAGGGTGTCAGAAGGATATGCATGGCAACATGTTGTTTGCACTGTTTTCTATGTATTACCCAGCTGTTTTTTTTTCAGTATTTTTTTCCTCTAGCGTTCTAAGGGAACTTCCTTATTACAAGTAAGCAGCAATGCTATTTTTTCACCAAAACATAATTCCAGGAGCTAAATTAATGTCTGATGACAACATTTCAAGAGTGCACTTAATAGTTTATTCTTCTTTGCAAGTAAAAGTCCTTTTTGTGTAATTTTAAAAATCTTTTAGCACAATTCTAAAATCATCAACTGTACTTTAACTGAACGCTCAATAAGAATACTTCATTATTTTAAATCTTTTTAGACTATAGGAACTATAGAAAGAAGCTATAGGAAAAACAACTGAAGTCTATGGAAAGTTTCCATAATCCCGCCCCTCCTCCCTTTCAGTGTGTGTGTGTGTGTGTGTGTCTGTGTGTGTCTGTGTCTGTGTGAGTGTTTCTTGTGAAATCTGATTTTTGTATGGCATATATGTAACAATTTTTATTACTCACTGTCTGGATTATTAGTTTACTACTAAAGTTTTATCTATATTCTTTTTATTTTAGAAATGTCCTTTAAATTGTTAGTATTTTATCCATCCTGTATTTCAACACCTTCATTCTTCATTCATTAATTTTCTTGTCGGCTTAGTTCCTTTATTAATCCAGGGCCTCCACAGCAGAGTGAACCGCCAACTTATCCAGCAAGTTTTTTTACGCAGCGGATGCCCGTCCAGCCGCAACCCATCTCTGGGAAACATCCACATACACTCATAAACTACGGACAATTTAGCCTACCCAATTCACCTGTACCACATGTCTTTGGACTGTGGGGGAAACCGGAGCACCCAGAGAAAACCCACACGAAGGCAGGGAGAACATGCAAACTCCACACAGAAACGCAACCTTCTTGCTGTGAAGCAACAACACTACCTACTGCGCCACTGCCTCGCCTTTCAACAGCTTTTGAGTATTATTTTAAATAAAAAACAAAAATGTGCGCACATTTGGGGTTCTCTAAGGCAGGTGCTCGATCAGAAACAAACACAGTGGAAAAGGTCAAAAGAAAATCGCCACACTGCCACTTTAGCTCTCACAAACAGGTCATGTTGATATCGGTCGAAAAGTTGTTACAATATAAAATTTTTGAGAGCTAAAGCGTGCCTGTTTTCTATTATCTTAAATAAATAGTTTCTTTATTGTTATTCTCAAGTAATTATGTGTTAAGGCTGTCGAACAATAAACACATCTAAATAAGTATTCATTCATTCAATTTCCTTCGGCTTAGTCCCTTATTTATCAGGGGTTGTCATAGCAGAATGAGTCCCTAAGTATTTCGGCATATGATTTTACGCAGCGGATGCCCTCTCAGCCATAACCAGGTAATGGGAAACACCCATACACTCTTGCATTCACACACATACTCATACAGTAAGGCCAATTTTGTTTACCCAGATCATGTATACTGAATGTCTTTGGACTATGGGGGAAACTGGATTACAGGGAGAACATGCAAACTCACAAATAAATGAAAAAAAAGACAAATAAATAAAAAATAAGATTATTTTAATGTTATTATTACCAGCTTTACTGTTAACATGGTGGCTCTTTGGACCGGCTCAGTTTGATTGGTGCAAGGGTGTCTCAGATGTGGAAATGTGCACAGCAAATTCATTAGTGTTAAATTTTGAGTGTTGAGGTAATTCAGAGTAAAGTGTTATAATTCTAGAGTTAGATAAAGATAAAATAACCCTCTCAGTGTTGGAAGCTGATTTGCCTCCTTGTCGCACAGAGTTACATGTATCTAACGCTAATATAGTGTTGACAACTACATCCGGGAATTTATGCAGCAATATCCCTGAAGGATTTTTCCATACGCCATTTTCTTCTGCCACGAGGAGCAATGAGAAACAGCAACTGGTGAGTAAAAGTACTTAAAATGTTTATACATAGACATTTTACATAAAAATTGTTATATATACGTTAGTTTTAAATATCATATGTAATTTTCCATCATTTATTTAGTTCTGTACTATCTATGTTACATTAAAGAAACTAAAGCTGTCTTAAAACTGCTCCTCTTGGTTAAAATACGTGAAAATACGGTTTGTGACTGATTTGAATTGCTTTCCTTAAACATTAACGCAATAGTTAATAAAGTTTTACTGATGTTTAACAAGATAACGTTATATTTTTATTCCCGTGCGCGGGCCCGCGCGGTTCGGAAAACTAACGTTACCTCCAGCTCCCTCACGCCATACCCGGGCACTTTTCACACACTTTTGCTGGTAACAGCAAAATAAAGGTCCACGCGTGTGAGGGAGCTGCTTCGTTTATTTATGTAACACAGCCATACGTCGTGCTTTTTTTGCTTGCTTGATTCAACATCAAAAGAAAAAACGCCCGTTGTATAGCACTAACAAGTGCCCTTTTTAGATAATTAAACACCTGCCATTCGCCATTTTCTTCCATCGCGAGCAGGAGTGGTGGTAAGGTTCACGTGCTATTTCTGCGTGAGGCGATTATTCTGACTAAATTCGAATTTAGTCAGTGTGTTTAATCGCATCACGACAGAAAGTTTTAGTTAATGATCATAATTTATCAAATTTAGAACGAACGTTACTCGTAGCATGTTTTTGTGTGAGTGTGTGTGCGTGCTTGCGTGTGTAATTTAGCTTCGTTAACTAACGTAAAGTTACATCTTTTTTATAGGAATCAACAGCTTCTTGAGGCTCAACGTTCAAATATTTCTCCTTCGGGTAAGTGGGAGTTACATGTGAATAAATGTGTTATAAATTTAGACTCGAGAGTTATGAATTCTGCCAATGTTGATAGAAAATGCCATTTGCAGATAAGCTAATTGCTTTCAGAAGTCATGCTAGAAAGTTTACGAACACTATTAGTTGTATGTTTAACTATCTATAATTTATTAAACGTGTTGTCTTAAGTTCATAGGATATTGGGGCACCTAAAAGGTACAAATATAACAGTTAATAAAAAGCAATTTACAGTTGACCAGTTATTTTTTATTACTCTTTTGTCAAGCTTGTCGAATTGTCAGTTTAGCGAAGGTGACAAGTTTATGTTTGCTTTAGTGCGTTTGTTAAACAGGGTAGAACGATATTGCCGTCATCATGACAAGTGTGAAAGGCAGTATGTACAGTTAGAAGCCTTTCAAGCCTTAAAAGAACGATTGAATACACAACAACTTCAGTTTCAGAAGGTACTTTTTTATGGCAAAGCATAATAAAGCATAATATAATCTTTCTGAATGTTATTTTGTAAATTAAATTAGGTATTTATCATTTAGATATCTAATAAAAATTATACTGTATGTCCCTTTTTTTTCCTCTGTAGACGCATGTTGTTGATACAAAAATGATAATTAAGGTGCAGTATGAAAATCGCAAGAAATACATCAAATTACAGGCTGCTGATTTTGATGAATTCATTTCTGAAGGTAAAATTCCCAATAACAATTTGAGTAAGTAATAACGTACTAGGTTACGGAACCCCGGAAGGGACGTAGTGGAGGAGAAAAAATTGGCTGGTTAAAAAAAAAAAAAAACAAATGGGCGAAAGAAGAAAAAAAATGGGTGGGAGGAAAATATATATTTATATTATATATTTATATTATAAATATATAATATATATTTATATTTACTTAATATATATATATATATATATATATATATATTAAGTTTTTGCATTATCTCGCAAAAATGTTTCTCCACAAACACTTCCTGTTCACTTCACTCACGTAAACCCTCCCGTTTTTTGCCGAAATTCTCCCATATTTTACCATTCTATTCCACTTTCTTTAATATGCAATATATATGCAACCTCTGAACCAGTGAATGCATGTATAAGCGCTGACTGACAGACGCGCTCCGTACAATAAACTGATTCCAGATCAGCGTCTGTACGTGCCATTTAAAGGGACACTTCTGTTATCAAACAAGTGAGCAGCTAATGAATCTCATGTTTTGTTTTGTTTAATAACAGAGGTTATAATGAAAGCAGTCCATTACTTTAGAATCTGTTTGTGCTCATTTAAGAAAAAAATTGCTGTTTAAAATAAAACATGTAGGACGGAGATGTTTACATATTATTCAGTGTATTTGTCTGTTTAAACATACACCCGCTCCTCTGTAAATGGCGTGTACAGAAGCTGGTCTGGCATTTGCTGATTCAGAGGTTGCATATAAAAGGTGACGATCGACGCACGTATTAATGTAGAGAAAGTGGGATAGAATGGTAAAATACAGGAGAATTTCAGCAAATCGGGAGGGTTTACATGATTGAAGTGCACAGAAAGTGCATGTGGAGAAACAGTTTGCGAGGGAACGCAAAACATCTTTGCGAGATAACGCAAAACGTTTTTGCGTGGGAACGCAAAACTTTGTGAGAGAACGCAAAAACTTTAAAAATATATATTTTCCTCCTACCCATTTTTTTCTTTCACCCATTTTTTTTTTTTTTCACCCAGCCAATTTTATTTCTCCTCCACTACGTCCCTTCCGGGGTTCCGTACTAGGTGGAGGTAATTTGGTAATTTAAAAAAATGTAACATGTTTCTCTTTATCATCATTTAGTGAGAGAAAAGTTCTCCATTCCTGCTAGCAACATTACAGTGGAAGATGACTCTGGCACGGAGGTGGATGAAACTGTGTTTGCAGAATTGTCTGCAGTGGCAGGGATTTGCTTTGTTGTGAAGGACGGTTTGGATCACGGTAAAAAATAAATAGTAGTGGTCATTTTAGATAATTTAATTCACTCTGTATTCATCTTACGTCCATTTTAGTGGCATAGTTAACCAAATGCTAAAAAAAAACTGCCAGCAATTCCTCACTAGTGTGTAAAGACTTTTACTCTGTTTTGAAGAAAAGGTCTCATTAGTTGGCATTGGTTAATATGTAAATTAAAATAAATGTTAATAATTAAAATATTCTTTATTTAGTCTTTATTATAAAAAGATTACCAGAGTAACAAGTTACCAAGATTACAAATATGGTAACACATGTATTTGTCATTATTAATATTGGATAATTTTACTAATAAAATGTTCAATAAATTATTACTGATATTTGATATCTGATATATCCATAAGTATACTGCAAATAAGGGTAATTGCTTTTTATATGTTTTGTTTTATTCAGACACATCTCGGTCATCAACTCCATCTGCACCGCTGTCATACAGTGGGAGTTCCCTCTCTGTTTTGAGTAGTGGCAGTGACAGTGACTTGTCAAGACAACCCAAACGAATGAAAATTGATGAAGAGCCATTACAGAGTGCTTTGGCCAAAGATGTAAGTTTATCGTCTGAAGTGTGCAATGGGTACTAAGTGTAAAACAAAAAACTATATAGGGCAGGGCGATAATTCGGTATCGATAATTATCACAATATGTATTTTTTTCGATAAAACAATAAGTGTTCGATAATATTTATGCAGTATGCGTAAGGCTGCGCAGGCATTTTGCAGCCTGCATTTCCAGATGCCACACGCAGTACAAGCTTACAACCATACAGTATTAGTTGCACTTGGAGGGGTAAGAAAAAAATAAGGTAAAAAAATGAAGATGCTAATAACATTACAGACCCAAACAAGTGTTGGTAAGCCAGCTCAACTACCCAGCAGAGTTTCATCATTTTTGAAAGCAGTGCCTTACGAGAAAAAAAACCCTGAAAAAAAAAAAAAAATATATATATATATATATATATATATATAATTTTACAAAATGTCTTAAATCAGCTGCACTAAGCGGTTGGCATTCTGAAAATCTTTAATTAATATATATAAGATTTGACATTTATCGTGATAATTATCGATATAGACTGATATGAAATAAATTATCGTGATATGATGATTTTCCCAACAAGCATTACTCTTGTTGGCTTAATAAAACAATTAATAGGCTAATTTACATTTTAGCTTATAAAGCAGATCCTCCAAACAAAATCAGGAGGGACAAAAGTGTTGGAAGAATATGACGAAACTGGGACATTGTGTGACAGTACAAGAAGGCAAATGGTTAACATTCTTGCTGCCTACATGGTTGAAATGGAAGGGTAAGTTTGTTGTATTAATATTAGGCAGTTAATTGCTATAAAGCTTTTTTTCTCTTAAGTTTTTTTCGTGTACTTTTTCATATTGCGCAAGTATTAAAATCAATTTTTATGTATTTTTGCAGGAGAATCCCTCAGCGGAGTACTAAAGAAAAATATGCATTGGGAATTGTCACCTTGTTCCCTGCATTAAAAGATCCCTTTTCAACAAAAGGATATGTAAGTTATGTATTTATTTTAACATATTGATTTAAAATGTATTTATCATTAAGAAAAGGTAATGAATTTGCTTGACACTTTTAAGGACTGTCACAATAATTAGTGCACGTGCGTGTGTTGTATTTGTTAAATTATGTTAGTGTGGATTAACTAATGAAAAAGACAACAGTAGCAACATTAATTTGAAACATTTTAATAAAATATTATACTACATAACATTTATACTATGAAAAAGTTATGACTGTGGGATTCCTTCTATTTGCTTATAATAAAGTTAAACCAACTTATGTCTCTGTTTTTGATTAGGAACATTTTTATGATGGCCAAAGTGGCTCTGGATTTCTTGCGTGGAGGTTAAAGACAATTCAACGAAAGACTAAAATTGAGTTCAGAGAGTTTAAAATACAGAATGCAGGAGCAGGTGGTCCAACCCAGGAAAAGGAGCTGCCTTCGGCTGCTGATCAGTTGGATGAAGAACGTTGTAAAGAGTTAATTTCCTTAATGAACCACACCACTGACCGAGAAACTGTCCTGCAAAAGATGAAGGAGACCTTCTGCTATAGACAGCGCCTTATCTACAATCCTGACGAGTCGCACAACATCCTCACAGTGTTTCCAAGGCTGTTGGACACGAAAGGGCTGGTAAGTGATGAAATGATTTCCGTGAACTACAATTCATATCTGTAAAGCATGAGATGGTCAGTAATACTTTTTTGTTGTTCTGTTCCTGCAGATAGATCAAGATTTTAGCCTCCTATTTGGTGCAGAAACAGCTGCCAAACTGCTTGAGAAGTGGCCTACCTTCTATAAGGAAAAAGTGATCAGAGAAGCAGAGAGACTTACTACCACCTCAGTGCTCCAAAGCTTGCTGAATTCAGCCAGGAATCTGTACAATGATGAGTCTTCCGAGGATCATCGAGGTATGTCAAAGAAAAATTTAATATCTAACAGAGAGCTCTAATGTGAATTTATGAAAAACAGCTAATAAGGGAAAATAATAAATTGTTCTATTGTTTCTTACAGAGTGGGACAGTGATATGGCATCTTTTTTGCTGCTCCTGCACCTTCTACCACCTCAGCCTTCTAAAAAGAAAAAACAGAAGATCAGTGCAGCTCAGGCCATGGAACATCTAGTTGTGTTTCACAAGGTTTGTGCAGAGCTACAGTTTGTGATTAACTGGGCAAGATAAGCTTAATTAATTTAGTGCATAATCTAAGATTATCATGATGATCTATTTTTTCCTCCAGTCAAACAACAGTTTTGAAGAACACTTCGCAAAACAGGAGGGACATCGCCAACCATACCTCCTTGCTTCAGGAATGCACAAGAGCGCCATCAGCAATTACTTTATTGCAATGGACAAGATGATCATCCCATGCCAGGGAACCACCTCGTTGGCAGCCATTGATGAACTGTTTAAAGCACACTTCGTTTTCAGTGTAAGCTATGATGATGCACTCAGCAACATGTACACATTCCTCCAGACAACAGTCTACGGTGTAGATGTTGACACCACTAAAGAAAGTCCAAAGGTGAAGGAGTTACGAGCAAAGTTCATGAACAGAAACTAAAAGACTATGTTAAAGTGCTACATTTGCAGAACATTGCATGATGCACCCAGTTCATTAATTCAGCACCTTAAGTTTTTTCATGGGTTATATCCTGGCAAAAAGTTTGTTCTTGTTTGTGCACAAGAAGGATGCTCAAGGCAGTTTAAAAGTTTTAAGGGTTTTAAAATGCATTTAAATACTTGTCATTATACTACAGATCTTGATGCAAGCAGTGATGTTATGCAAGTACCACATCAGTCAGACTTTGGTGAACAGAGCTCACAACACAACTCCTCTGTAATGGACCAAGATGCAATCAACGAACCATCAACATCTCTTATGTCAAAAGACCAAGCAAAAGATATGTGCGCGTCAATTATTGCAAAGTTAAAGGGCAGTGGCGTTGCGAACAGTGTAGTGTTATCTGTTGTTGAAAGTATGGAGGAGTATGTTGATGAAATTCATGCAAATCTTGAAGAACAAGTGCTCAGTGCTTTACCTGCTGAAAATCAAATAAGAAGTGCAGTAAAAGATGTCTTAAGCAATGCTTTCAATCCATTTAGTGACTTAAACACAAATTCCAAAATGACAAAATACTTCAGTGAAAAATGGGGTGTTGTTGAGCCAATTGAGATTCATTTAGGAGTGAGATTTGATTCAAAAAGAAACAAAAAATCTGGAGTATATGAACAGGTTCCAGTAAATGACACTTTCATTTATGTACCCCTGTTAAAAACGCTAGAATTTATTTTCAAAAATCCAGAAGTATGTAGTCATATTAATAAACCTCCTGCAACAGATTGTAACTTATACCAAGACTTCTGTGATGGAAAATACTACAAGCATCACGCACTGTATTCTAAGTCACAAAATGCTTTGCAAATTCAAGTTTATTATGATGACTTTGAAACCGCAAACCCTCTTGGGTCAAAACATGGGGTTCACAAGCTTGGATGTTTATATTTTACAGTCCGAAATTTACCACCACGTTTAAATTCGTCTTTGATGAACATTCACCTCATCTCTTTGTTTCATTCCCAAGATTCCAAAAAATATGGCATTGACAAAATTCTTTGTCCATTTGTTGAAGATGTAAAAGTGCTAGAACAACATGGAATGAAAGTGTCATTTACTGAACAACCTCTTTATGGTACAATTGCTCAAGTAACAGGGGACAATTTAGGTCTGAACTCAATCCTTGGTTATGTGGAATCTTTCTCTGGAAACTACTTTTGCAGAATGTGTCTTGCTGACAAAGGATTGGCTCAAACCATGTTTAGTGAAAATGATCCACGTATGGTTTTGCGCAGCAGATTGACAAATGAGGAGCATTACAATTATCTTCGTGAGAATCCGAGGGAAACGTCATGTTTTGGCTTGAAACGCAACAGTATATTCAATTCTTTGTCATACTTCAGTGTTTCAGATAATTTTGTTTTAGATATCATGCACGATGTCTTAGAGGGCGTGGCACAATATGAGATTAAGTTGTTGTTTGGTTATTTGAATCAGAACTTCATTTCTAATGAAAACATACTCCAGCGTGTATATGCATTCAATTATGGTTTCATGGACAAAAAGAACCGTCCAACACGCATAAACCTGTCTAGTAGTGGCAACAGTATTGGACTTAACGCTAGTCAAACATTATGCCTTAGTAGAAACCTCCCACTAATCTTCGGTGATGTGGTCCCAGAAGGTGACAGACACTGGCATTTACTTCTGCTTTTAATCCACATAGTAAACATAATATTTTCCCCAAGTATTACAGATGGAATGATTGTATTTCTAAAACATCTTATTCAAGAGCATCACCAGCTATTCAGTGAATTGTATCCCCAAAATAATTTGATACCAAAACACCATTTCATGATTCACTACCCTGAGTGTATACGCCAAATTGGTCCTTTAGTTCATGTTTGGAGTATGCGATATGAAGCAAAACACAAATTTTTTAAGTCCAGTTTGAAAAATTTCAAGAACATAACTAAGTCCCTTGCGATGAAACACCAGATAGCTGTTGCATACCATTGGGAGTCACTCTTTACAAAAGGGATTGAATCTGGGCCTGTTAAGTCAAAGAAACTGACTGATGTTGACAATGGTCATTTGATTGCAGAACATTTTCAGATTGATATGTTAAGTGAAGTAAATATCACTAGTTGGATTAAACATGAAGACGTTGAGTTTCACACAGGTCTTGTTGTTTGCACAGGTGTTGTTGAAGAATTGCCAGTGTTCAACAAAATTGTTTGTATATTTCTGAGGAATGAAGCTTATTTTTTGGTAACGGAAATGGAGACCTCATTTGTGGAACATTTACATGCATTTGAAGTTACTGAAAACATGCATAATGTTTCAGTTGTTATGCCTCATGACTTAAGATTCTTTAAGCCTTTTGATGTACAAATGGCTTATGGTGCAGACTCTTTGTTTTATGTTGTACCAGACTGCTGCATTGTGTAGATTGCAAGATAATGTTTTAAGTTTTGTTTCAGGAGATTTTATGTACAAGGTCATTGTACAGAGTGTTTTAAGTGTAATGTAAAACCATGTTAAAGAAAATAAAATGTATTCATTGCAGCACATATTTATTGTATGAGTGGTGAATTGAAATGATACATTGTAATTATAGAATTAACGACAGGGCATAATGTAAATACAAATGTAAAATATGTCAAATGAACACTGGTGAAGTGTTGAAAATTTAACCTAAGAGTGTTAACACAAAACACTGAGTGGTGTTCATATGATCATTTTTGGTGTTAATATATTACACTATAAGAGTTTGCAAACTAACACTCTCGGAGTGTTGACTATGTTAACACCATCAAAATAACACTGGTAAAGTGTTGAAAAATTTACCTAAGAGTGTTAAAACATAACACTGACTGGAGTTCAGATAATCCTTTGTGGTGTTAATATTTTACACTATAAGAGTTTGGTAATTAACACTTTCTGAGTGTTGATGACGTTAACTCTTTCAAAAGTGTTATTTCAACACTTTTCCAGTGGTTCCCATATAAACTCTGAGAAAGTGTTAAATTTAACTCTAAGGTAGTTAAATCTACAATCTAAAATTTGCAGTGTGTGCAGCACCAAATTCTTAGAAATGATAGAACTGGGCCAGACATATTAACATTTTAGTCATGTTAACACAACTAACACAGCATTGCTGATAGTAACAACCTTGTTACAGAAGTGACTGCCAAAAAGTGCTTCTGTTTTTTTCAGTTTGTTGTGTCTTGCTGTGAGTCAGACACTGCCTTGTTTCCCTTGGACACAGTATCAATATAAACAAAGCCATGTCTGAGAAATTGTGAGCTAAATCTACTGTTTTGGACTGTTATACACTTGTTATACACTTGATACACTTTATACACTGTTATACACTATACATTTTACATGCAGTTCATAGAACACCATTTATTGGAGAGGTGTGTCAAGTTGAGTCACTAAAAACATAGAAGCGAATTATTTTTCTATTCAATCTATGAAGGGAAATGTGTCGTTAACATTTTATGTAGTTGAAGTACATTTATTAATGAACAAATCATAAAAAAATGAATAATAGATTTGCAAACAAAGTAAGAATAAATTCCCAGTGCAATTCACCTGTGACTCAAGACTGTGAGTATGATTATATAAATTCATAAATTTTCCTGACCTTGATCTGTCTCCATGAAATAGTGATGATTACTCAGTCACAGAGCAACAGGTCCTAATCAAATCCTGGTGTGTTTTATAGCTCAGGAGGACTTTATGTGCCTATGACAACACAGACTCGTGGGAGAAATAAAGTACAAAATGCTTGTTACTTATTGGGCTATAGACAATTATCTAAATATACTTCATCCCAGAATAGCACGACTGAGTCATTGTTCACTCAAGATTTCCACCTCGTTTTAACATGTAGAGAGCTTCGCCTTAATACAAGTAAAGAAAATAACTCTAAGTAGATTTATAAACTAGTTTTGTATTCCTACTTTAGTTATGTAAATATCTTTTTCTTATTATTTTGTAAGAAACCAGTAGTACATTTACACTACCTGACAAAAGTCTTGAAGCCTATCTAAGTTTTAGCAACAACAAATAATAACTTGACTTCTAGTTGATCGTTTGGTATTAGATGTGGCTTATGTGAAAGGCAAATGCCTCTAGATTACGCTTATTTTCCAAAATAAAATATGATCATGCCTTGATTTTTAAGTTTTTGATTGGGACAGTAAGGTCTGACTTTGCTGAGACAAAAGTCTTATCACTTCACAGCAATAATGAAAAATAGGGTCCATGGGGGTTCCAACAGGTCTTCTGCAGTATTTGTGATGATTGGGATTCAGTTATACAAATAATTCATCGGAAAAATCTACCTTTTGCCACTTTTCCGAATGATCAACTAGAAATTATTATTTGTTGCTCTTACAACTGGAATTGACAACAAGACTTTTGTCAGGTTTAGACTGCACAACCCTTAATCAAATTTAACTGTGTCAATTGATGCTTTATCACATCTTTATTTCAAAACAGGCATGCAAATCTTTAGCAAGAAACATCTTGACCCTCTGACATGAGGGATTTTATTTACTTGTTTGTTCTTTAGTTATTTAATAACAATAAAATGGCAATGCCCACTAGCTGAGACTCTCCACAGCATCTACAGTGTAGTACTGTTGCTGATTCATTGATTTAACTTGCTTCTGTTGGAAAAAATGCAAGCACGTCCTTTATGCAACTATAGATGCCTTTTCAGCATTCTCACTTTGTTCCCTGCACTCTAAAAAAAGATGGTTATTTAATGTTTCTTTGTTCATAGTAATTGTTCTAATTAGAACCGAATCCTAGAGAAGCCTACTTTTTTTTTTTTTTTGCTGAAATAGTCCTTTATGTGTTTGTTTTCCACCTTTTTGTTTTTCAGATCACCTAAATAAATTTTCACTCATAATAGATACCCATGACTTCACTTTTTAATTTGAAAAAAGTAAAAGTAATAGTATCAAATGTATCACAAACTGACCATTTAGGGTACAGGACACATTGTGCTTCACTTGTGTGCCTTTGTACACTGTAAAAAATATATCGTAAATAAAATTTACCGCAAAAAAAAAAAAAAAAACGGAAGCTGTGGTTGGCAGTATTTTACCAAAAAAATACAGTTCAAGGTAATTTATTATTTTTACCGTAAACTACTGTATTTCATTAATATAGAGGTAATTTGTCTGTATTTTGAATTACCAGCATTTACTCATCACATTGGATACACAGATAGACACGTTATCACAGCCATATGCCAATGCTTATCACAAACAACTTTTCCCACAAGCAGAAAAGTGTATCAGTGTACAGAAGGTGCTTAGTGTCATTCACACAGCTACTAAACACCAGTATGGTAACATGCAGAAAATAAAAGTCATGAAATTAACCTTGTTTATCAACATTATATGTAAAATAAATCTCTAATTCAACTATTTAACTAATGGCGAAACAACAAAAAAGATCCATTGTAATGTTAACAAAAAGCATAAAAAGTGATGTACCATGCAGGAAATTCTAGGAAAGTCAATCTACAGTTATTCAATGTATATATTAAGGAAGCATACTGTTAATCAGATTACGGATTTTTACTGTAGCATTTTTTAAATTGTTTTACCGTTGAAATCACAGCCATTTTTTAAAGTGTAAACGAAAGAAACAGTTTTTTTACTATTACTTTTCCTCTTTATTTACAGAGATAACAGGAGTGCATTATTGTTACAGTCAATCACCAGAGGGTACTCCAGCTATATGAACGCTCCATCAGCCGTTTACCCAGACTACACCTCTCATCAAATTTTGCGCCTCACAGCTGAAACAGTTTTATAATATGGACTCTGACACGTAGACAACTGCTGATCATTGACACTGATTACACACACTATATAAACAACATATACTTTCATTACAATACCTACACAGTATCTTAAAAGTATTTATTTGCTGAAATGCAGGATTTTATAAAAGAAAGGGAAAGGGGAGCGGGCAGAGGGAAGCTGAGTGGTGGTGGGGAGGGGGTTAGGAGAACGGAAGAATTGTGAATTTTATTATAAGAAATGTTATATTATTCATATAATATTTTTTTGTTCTAGAAAGCAGTCTAGCAGCTGCATTTTGAACCAGCTGAAGCTTGTTAATTTGGCCAACAGGGCAACCACCTAGTGACGCATTACAATAGTCTAACCAAATTCATGAAAGCATGAATAAGATTTTCTGCATTAGACATGATAGCATATGTAGAAAATTGGCAACATTTTAAGATAAAAAATGCAGTTTAACAGATGCAGCGATTTAAAGCGGCCTTTAAATGACAGGTTGCTATCAAAAATCACCCCCAAATGTTTCAATGAAGATGAGGACTGAACTAAGTATCCATCAAGGGTCAGACAGTGTTCTAGGTTTTTGCATGTGAGGTTTTTGGGTAACTCTATCAAGCCTCTTCAGCTGCTTCAGAACGCAGCAGCACGAGTGGTCTTTAATGAACCTAAAAGAGCACATGTCACTCCGCTGCTCATCTGTTTGCACTGGCTGCCAGTTGCTGCTCGCATAAATTTTCAAAGTTGTGATGTTTGCCTACAAAGCGACTTATGGTTTTGCTCCTTCTTATCTGCTCTCACTTCTGCAGATTTTTGTGCCCTCCAGAAACTTGCGTTCAGTGAATGAACGTCGCCTCGTGGTTCCATCCCAAAGAGGGAAGAAATCACTTTCCCGAACTCTCACATTCAATCTGCCCAGTTGGTGGAATGAATTTCCTAACTGCATCAGAACGGCAGAGTCACTCGCAGTTTTCAAGAAACGACTAAAAACTCAACTATTTAGTCTCCACTACACTTCCTAATCTGCAATTGCCTCTCTGAATATACCACTAACTAAAAAAAAAAATAAAATAAATAACTTATGTTTTCCTTCTTTGACTTTACAGACCTGAAACTGGCCTACAGCACTTATTCATTGTTGCTCTTATAGTTGGGTAAATTGCTTCCTTGTCCTCATTTGTAAGTCGCTTGGATAAAAGAGTCTGCTAAATGACTAAATGTAAATGTAAATGTATAAGCAAGTTTTATCAGTTTATCTGAATTTAATAAAAAGAAGTTATTAGTCATTAAATTTTTAATATCAGCTATACAGTCTGTTAATTTCGTAAATTAATACACACGTATGATTGTTTGCTGTCAGATTAATAGTGGTGGGCAGAGCGAGCCTTCGTGAAACACTGAAACCGTCGAAGCTGATGTGTCAAGGTGCTGAAATGTTTCTAAACCTGTTTCAACAGTGATGCCTAGTGGTCATTTTCAAATATTGCTCTGAAAATAAAAGAAAGTAAAAGAAATTGTTAAGCGAATTGAATAATTAAAACCCTTTATAAGTGCTCCCTACTGGCATAAAGGCATGTTGGGTTTGAATCCAGGATGAAGCAACTACCGTCATCTAAAATGTAGATTTTACTGTTCTCTTCTTGTAATGTGTTTTTTTTGTAAAATCTGTCTGACATCTGAATAAACTCTTTGTAAATAAATGTGTAAAAAATGAACATTAATAAAATAAAAAGTTTTTGTACAAGCCAAGATTCCAACTAGGAACACATGCAGCACAGTTGCACTATATATCAGCACATTATCCACGAGGTTATATGAGAGTACAGTATGTTTTTGTTTCCGATGCTGTCAATCAAGCACATATTCACAATGTCAAAGAGCTTGTGAAATGCCCTGATTCACTGAAATATCAGTCACATGGCCTGGGTATTTCAAAACACTTCAGAGAAATGTTTTGAAACGTCTGCCTTTCGGGATCTCAACACCATGTCGAAACGTCAGTTTTGTGTCAGCCATCTCTACTAATTATTGAATTACTCTAGTGGATTTATTTTTTATGATACTCCTTTGCTCCTGTTTGACCCCTGCCTGCTGACATATGCCGTGAATACTCTCTATAATTTAAAGCTTCACTTGGAACTTCCATTACCATGCCACTTCATAACAATTATGCATGTCTTTCATCAATGCTGCCATTTGATGTTAACTAAACATAGGTTTATTAATGAATAGATGAATAAAAGAAAATAAACATTCCACAGTGTCATCTGAGATGTTTTATTCCATGTTGCATTCGTGCTGTTATATCTGACTTTGTCATATAGCCTTAATAATGCTTTCACAAGTTTATTTTTTACATTTTGGGAGGAGAAAAATGTACATATGTGGTCTCAACAACTAAATGCATTTATCTCTGTCCAGTTTTGTCTGGAGTGGATCCCAGACCACCTCCTGAAGTGGTCTGAGTAATCGCATTTATATCAGCCATGAATGTATTAGAGGGCATTTACACTTGCCCTTTTACATCCCCTAATTCATTACTCCCTGCTGAAAAAACAACTTGAAACAACCTAAGCTGGTTGGCTGGTTTTAGCTGGTCGACCAGTTTGGTTTTAGAAGCAATTTCACTATTTCCAGGCTTGTCGGCTTGGTGTTCTGGCCTTAAGAACTGATTTGTTTGTATGAATGGTTGATGAATGAGGCCCATTTAGTGTAAATAATATCCAGTAACACTGAGTTTAAATACGACTTATCTTACATTAACGTATTAATAGCATCCACCATATGTCAACACTGAGTGTAAATTGCATCGGTTGCTAATTGGACTTGATTAAAATGTATTGCAAACAAATTTTTTTTTTGCCCATCATTGATAGCATTCCACTAAATTAGCCTGCTTTAGTCATCTTTCTTTTACTTAAAACATAATTGTAAGCAATAAATGCTCTGCTATTCACAGCCTGTACACATTGCAAGAACAATACATTCCATACTGACTGTCAGTTCATAGTTTCAACACAAATTGTATTATTACATTTCATCTTTTATATGTTATGTATGTGGATTTGCAACATTTCTGTCAGACATTATCTTCAGGACTTGTGCACACAACAAAATTCCTCACTTGAGCTGCATGGAGATAGTCTGCATTCTGGACAGTGTTGTTTGAAAGCTAAAACTCAGATATGATAAGGTCTGGTAAACATGTGGTAAACTCCCTTCTCACTCTCCTCTTGAGAACAAGTTTCAAAGTTTCTAATGTAAGTCATGGATGGACATATCTTCAGCAGGAGACTGTTTCTATGCTTATTTCTTTGTTATGTCTACCCTCATTGTTCAACAAACGAAGTCTGCTCAAACAATATACATCCTGGAACAAAAGGTAATGATGGTTTGCTTGCTTGCTTGTTTGTTTTCCAACATCTTTCCACATTTTTACCACTGCAGTGTTATCATATATTGTATGAGTGTACTGGTATTATTATTTGCTATGGTTACACTATGTCTAAATATTAGTGTGATTAAATGATCTCTATCAATTCTTGCATGTTGGTTATTCTCACAGATATTAATGATGAAATCCTTCATTTAATTTGTATCACAGGAATCCCTGCTGGTAAACCCAAATGTAGCATTTTAAAATGTTCTTTTATTTAACATACAAAAATGTAAAAATACAAATGTAATGTAAAATGTTAGTCTATACCCTGTCGCTATAAACAATAACAGTATAGTAATGAATGCATACATTAATACATAAACAAACACTGCAAAAAATGCCTTTCGAGTTTTTTTTCTTATTTCTAGTCTATCTAGAAATTCTTAAATCAAAAGGCATGTTCTAGACAAGCAAAAGATATTGACAAAAATATCAAACAAGACAAATAAAAACATGACAAAAAAATATAAAGAAGAAAAGCATTTTTTGCAGTGCACACATGCATGTGCACACAGTAAAATTCAAACATTAGAAATACATTTATTTTTATGCTGAGTATATTGCAAATAGATTAACATGGCTATGCACAAAAATACACCCTAATTGTACTTATTTCTACAAATAACTTATTCTACTATAACTTGGACAAATAATCTTTTACATTGCAGATAACTTATAATGTAGTGCAGCTTTTTTCTGTGTCATGATGCAAGAAACTAAGAAATTTGTAATCAAAAGACTGAACTATAATTAACTATCAATTAGGCAAGTCATTAGACCAATGTTTTTCCTGTAGTTTATAATAAAACAATTCTTAAATGGCGAATAATATTGAAAAAATTCAAATAGAAAATTTTTTTTTTATTAAAGCCAATTTTTCTCAAGAAGAAAAATATATTATATGAAATACTAATATTATATCATATCCTTTCTCTGTTAAACATCACTTAGAAGATATTCTAAAAATAAAAACAATCTCAGAGGAGAGCTAATATTTAGTTTAAAACTTGATACAAAACATTATGTGTGTGTTTTTTTTTTCAATTTTCAATCAATTTTATGGAATGTTTAAACAAATCTCATTTGCTGAATCGATAATGTTTAAATTAAACTGGGCATCAGTGCAGGTACCTTAGTTTGTTCATAGCCAAGGATCTCCAAAAATTAGTATGTTTAGACAGTAAATAAAGTGATTTTTTTTTTTTAATTTCATATTTTAAAGTATTAATTTTTACTTGTACTCAAAAATAAAACTACAAAAATAATACATAATACAGTAAACAAATACAATTACGTTACACTTCTGATAAATAATTAATTCAAATACTAAAGAAACGCTTTTAAACTCTACATGTTTGGCAAGCAATAAACGCGGTTGACTTTAAATGTGAATCGGTTGTGGAAGAAATTACTTTTTTATTTTATTTTTCATTTCCATATTTACATCGTGTCCTAACTACACAGGGCATGACACCGCTCCCTTATTTTAAAATCTTTTTCATGTTGAAAAAAGAGGCGACGCCATGGTGCAGTAGGTAGTGCTGTCACCTCACAGCAAGAAGGTAGCTGGTTCAGTTGGTGTTTCTGTGTGGAGTTTGCATGTTCTCCCTGTATTCGCGTGGGTCTCCTCCAGGTGCTCTGGTTTCCCCCACAGTCCAAAGACATGCGGTACAGGTGAATTGGGTAGGCTAAATTGCCCGTAGTGTATGAGTGTCTGTGTGTGTGTGGATGTTTCCCAAGGATGTGTTGTGGCTGGAAGGGCATTCGCTGCATAAATACGTGCTGGATAAGTTGGCGGTTCATTCCGCTGTGGCAACCATAGATTAATAAAGGGACTAAGCCGATAAGAAAATGAATGAATGAATGTTCAAAGGAGTTTTTGTCCTTACAATCTGTCACAAGTTTCTATTTTAGAAGAGTTTTTATTTCTGCGATGTCGAAGCTGCAACTGCGGCATAAGCTACTATATTAAAATGGTCACCTCAGGGGCTGATTATGTGCTTTATTCAGTGTTAAATGTTACTAATTTGAATACCATTCTATGTGACATTTATTGCCATACAGAAAGCAGCAGCAGATTCTTTACCCTTAGATCTTGAAAATGAAGAACGCAAATGTAAAATTGCAAAATGATAGTTGGAAATGTGCTTGACCAACCAATAAATGTCAGCCACTCAGCGTAAACTTTTATTTACGTTAAAGAGTTTTAATATAAGCTTGTTAATTAGATTAGATTACCATTTCAATGAGCGTGGTGCACTATTCTGTGCTTCTAAATGTCTGTGGTATTTAAATATTTATGTTGTGTCATGTCTGATGCAGAAAGAAATTGCTTCTTGCTGAATCTTATAGATTCAAAGGTTGTTTTGTTATGCTGTCAAACTGTTGTATGAACCCAATATCACACTCAGAGCACGGCAATAGGGTATATGCCGAGCTAGTGTTGTTCCCATGCTGATACACTTCCGTTGACCTGTTTTTGTGAACTTTTTTCCATTTTATACGGTTCCTTATACAGCATCGATGTTTTAATGTCATTAAAATACATTCAGTTAAATAAACTTTAGCATTTATTTGGTTGCTCAAGCGTAAAACGAGACAAAAAGCCGTTTACTCGCACGCGCCCGTCAGAATCGGCAGGCTAACGCAGAAGCTCCATTGAATATACTGGGGTAAAATAAATGGTCATATTATAAAGATATGGCAGGGGAAGTGTAATTTAATGCAGTGCTTCTTGTACAATCTGAGACCCACTTTAAATGGGATATCACTCAGCTAGTGGAGATCGCTCATTTTTAAAGAAAACAGACCTTAAACGCACCGGATTTTGCATTGGCATTTAATTCGCCGGAAGCGCTTAACCCAGGTTACTGGCAAATTAAATGTCCTATTAGCATGCTTCGGCATATACCCCATATGGTTGTCAGCACTGCTTTATTTACAGCAGTCCTGGGATGCAGCCATATCACAGTCCTACATGTGTGAAATTGCTCATGTGTAAATAGAAGTCAATTTGTCAACTTCATGTAGCAAAGATAAATATAAAAATCTAAATGAATACCCCTGACAACTCGATCTTCATTCACAATGCATACATACATACATCCTAAATAGTTCTGTCTGCAAATCTACTGCTAAAGGGTCTCTAATTATGCCTATTCATCTGGCAGGTGATCCAGGTGAGGAGGGAGCAGAAGGTGAAGAGGGAATAATGGGGAAATCCGGCCCATCTGGCAAGCAAGGTCTCTGAGATGTTGGTGGTTTGTTAATTGCTGAATCATTGATGGATTAAAGAAATGGTACCAAACTCAATTCCTGGAGGACCACAGCTCTACAGAGTGTTCGTCCAGCCACCTTCAACTCACACCCTAAAAGTCTCTAATAGTCTTGAACACCTCGATTAGTTGGATCAGCGATGTGTTTGATTAGGGTTGGAGCAGAACTATTCAGAGCTGTGGTCCTCCAGGAACTAAGTTTGAGACTTATGGGTTGCTGCATTTGAAAGTTCAAGCTTGGTGAACTCTGACCTGCAAAATTGATAACATTATTGTGTGGGACCAACAGAAGATCCAAACGTGACCTCTCAGTACATGTTAAATATGGAGCAATTGCTTTCTTTTTTAACATCTAATCATATTGTTTAATCCAGCCCTTTTCGTAGAGCTGTATGACAGAATTTCGCATGCTCAAACTCTAGTCTGACCGCAGCATTACAGGGAAGTTGCTTAAAGCATGCATGCTTACTTTTCATAGCCACAAATACCAAGGGAATGTTGGGGAGGGGAAATGGAATGACAAGAAAAGCAGAGATGCCTGAAAGGCTGGAAGCCTGCTCTTTCACTTTACATCAGCACCATTAGGTTTTAGAATGTTACTTTATTGCAAACTTTTTCAGTAGTGTGTCCACAAGTAACATTTAAAATATATTACATACAGGACAGTCTTCAGAGAATCACTGGGTATGACTGGCAAAATCCCCAAAAAGTGTGACCACTGTTAATCAAAACCGCACACATCAAGATTAAGTGTTTTAATAATCTGCATGATTTCTTTGGAAAAGCATTGTGAGCATTTCTTTTTCTTTAGGCCTCCCTGGTAAATATGGAGACAAAGGACTGATTGGCCAAATAGGAAAGAGAGGACCTAGAGGAATGAGAGGTTAGACTCTGACTGGGAATTGTTTGTTTATGTATGTTGTGTTCACATTTTCTCACCACTAACACTACAATTTCTGGTATTGTATATCACTTACTTTTACAGCACAGTATATTTTACTCCATAGTGTCTATGCCTTTCACAGTTTACCTGTCTTTGTTCAGAAAAGTATTTAAATACCAGTAAATAGATTCTTCTTCTTCTTTTCCGTCTCCTTCTTCTTCTTCTTCTTCTTCTTCTTCTCTGTCTTCTTCTTCTTCTTCATCTTCTCATTATTATTATTATTATTATTATTATTATTATTATTATTATTATTATTATTATTATTATTATTATCGTTTTTTTGGTAGTGAGTTCATGTGCCATCTGTCTGGCCGGAACAGATCCAAAATGAGTTTGTATAACTGTGGAATTCCAAACAAAAAGTGTGCATTGCTTCCATCTACTGGTCATTCTCAGTTATTACAGGTTTAAAGGATGCTTGTAATAGCATGCATTGCTTGTAATATCACAGTTTTTCTGAATTGATAAAACACATTTCTTGAAACTACCCCTCATTTTCTCAAAACCTTAAAAAAAGAACCCCCCACTCTTCTGACAAAATTAAACAACAGCTTCAAAATAACTTCAGAATTACATTATTTAAAATCAAACAGTGTTTTCTAATGATAGATACTGTTTAGTGTCCTGTACATTGTAAGTATAGTATTGTGCTGAATTGTCTTGCATTCTGTAACAAGACAACAGCCCAACTTCTGATGTCCAAACGATCAAATAAATGTTTAAATGAAAAGCATGTAACTGTACAGCTAATTAAAGATTCTGCCTCAGCATCATGGGCTTTATTTTTAAACCGGGGGTATGCACAAATATGTTATGTATTGAAGCATTGACCAAAGACTACATGATTTCTGGGATCAGAAATGATTATATCTAATTTGAGGGCTTCAGGGAGCCCCTATCTATTTGCGGATGACTACCGGAGCTTCCAGTAGAGGATGTCTGTGACACACACTTTCTTCTTCCTAAGAAACAGAAAAAAGCATGCATGCATGCTTGCATGCATATCAGCCTGTTGTGATGTAGACATGATAATTTAATGTAGACATGGCAATTTAATAAATCAATGCAGCAAAAGTGGCGTGTGGTATGGTGCAATTTTAGTGCAAATGATGTAGTCATGATAAAGGAAGATCTTTCTCTGAGAAATCGGTGGCACCAGGGACAAATAGTGGAAACTGTGGACAATGATCCATTATTGTGATAAAGTGAAAACACGAGTTAGTGAACAGAAATCATTAGGAAAACATTCTCTATCCAAACACGTAATTATAGAAAGACTGGTTCAAAAGTTACTCCGCCTTGAAAGTGAAAGATGCAGTGCAGTTGAAGATCTTTTAAGTAAATAATATATTTTTCATCCTTTCATAAAGTAAATTATGAAATGGTCCTCCAAATTTGAAATCATGTATGATTAAGTGATACTGTGTCGGGAACCATTTAACCAGATAGTGGGTTATGTGTTTGTAGTGTTGCAGACTTGTTCTTAAGATAAGTTTGATGAGTGAATGCTTTCACTAAAGGAGTATCAAATTTTACTTTTATTGTCTAAGCATTTTGGGAAAAACTGTAATGAAACCATGTACTGTTTTATGTTTTGAAATATACCTGTTACTGGTGTTACTGAGGCCAACAGGTGGCGCCCAACCTGCGTTCTGTGTGGGCCCTAATGGCCCAGTATAGTGACGGGGACTCTATACTGCCATCTTTCGGATGAGACGTAAAACCGAGGTCCTGACTCTCTGTGGTCATTAAAAAGTCCTTTGAAAAAGAGTAGGGGTTTAACCCTGGCATCCTGGCCAAATCTGCCCACTGGTCTCTGTCCATCATGGCCTCCTAACCCTCCCCATATTGTAATTGGCTTCATCACTCTGTCTCCTCTCCACCAATCAGCTGGTGTGTGGTGTGCGGTCTGGCACAAAATGGCTGCCGTCGCGTCATCCAGTTGGATGCTGCAAACTAGTGGTGGATGAGATTCCCCCCTATGTGTAAAGCATTTTGAGTGCCCAGAAAAGCGCTATATAAATGTAAGGAATTATTATTATTATTATTGTCTCTGCTTGAATGGTAGCATTCCAGTATATCTCTTTAAATTGCTCTTTAGCTCCTATTGTGTTAATTACCACTGAAGAGCATTTAAAATGGCTGTTTCTACCGATAATGGAGTTATCAAAGCAAATAAAAAAATCAAAGTTTATGCAGTCCAATAGCATGTTTGTTTTCCCGGAAGCCAAAGCAAGTTGCTCAGACTTTGACAGATCTTTCAGGAATTGGTCAGGGTGGCAGTTTCTCTGCAGCTCTATCAGTTGTCTGAGAGTTTCTGTAGCTCAAGAGAATCCATCCCTGGACATGCCTTTTTGTTGTGCTGGCAATAAAGGTGTAAAGTTTATCAGCTATGGTCAAATAAAAACTGATAAAGTGTATGTAAAACTTTGCACTCTTCATTAATACAAGATTCAAGAAATGAGGATATCAGTGAACATATATTGGCTTCATTTTGCTTTTGTATTCTGGACTGTAGACCTTTGTGAGGCCATGCTGACTGCACAATAACCCTGGCCATGGATGTCCTCGACATTCAGCTCTCTTTCAGCAAGTTTGTTACTAGGGTTTCAAGCTTTTCTTCTGCTCTTGACTGAATTTTGCAGAGCTGGATGAACTGTTTCTTTATGGTCATGCTATGCACATACTGTAACTCACCACAAAGCACAGCTGGTTAATGTGTGATACATCAGTGCTCTTATCTATTAAGTAAAAAGCTAAATAATAATGCAGAACAGTTGTTGCAATTGAATTATACCAGTAGAATGCTTGTATATTTCAATTTAAAATGAGTTTGGTTCATTTTAATTCAGTTCAATTGAATTGTTTATTAACAGTAAACAGTAATACAAAAGGCAGTACCAAAGGACAAATCCACTGAAAAGCAGCTACATCTGCCACAGCAAGCCAGAGGGGACAGTGGCAAGGAAATAACACTCCCCCAATCAAAGGAAATGGAGAACAAACCTCAGGAGAAGCCAGGCTCCTCTGGGACAACTGGTTGTTCTCTGGCCATTCATAAAGGAGCAGAGCTGCAGTCTAATGCTTCATTCACACTAGCAGAGATGTTGTAGCTGCCTGTCGCGCTTGGTGGTGACTGAAGTTGCTAATGAGCATTCCCAGATTGATGGTGCTTAGGTAATGTTTATCATGATATTCACTAAAAGCGAATGAGCATTCTTCCTGCTGATATTAAACATTGTGGAGCTAAAACATTAATATGTATGGATTTCATACATAAAATTCTAAATTAGAGAGATGAAAAAGCAAACAAAAGTTTTCTCTGTCAACGTGGCTATTAATTTGCTGTAAATGCCAATCTTTGTAGGTTTACAGCCCGGAGATTTAACCAATTGGTGTAGGAGCTATGAGAGCTTTACCAATACTCATAGCCAGATGTCACAAGAAGTCACCAGCTCTCCTTTAAAACGATTGGCTGCATGTCGCTTTGTTTCTGTGTTTCGCTTGTGCATAGAGCTCCAAGTCTGATTTATACTTCAGCGTCAATTGCCTGCAGATGGTCTAGCGTGGGTTGCATAACTTTCGCTGTGCTTGACACCGACCTTGACGCACACCTCTCAAAAAATGTAACTATTCATTGCGGCCATGCATAATGCAGGCTTGGTAGCATTGAAAAGTGTGGGTGGAGCAGAGAGCCACGGGACAGGAGCGAGCCTGTTGGCAAGAGTCTTTAACAAGTGTCCAGTCCGTAGAAGAGCTTCAGATGGATACTTTTGTTTGCTTTTTGAATAAAGTTGTTGCACATCTGACAGTTCCCGCCTCTGAATTAACGAGTTTGAGCTAATTGTACAGTAAGTTACATTACAGGTATTTCTAGTATAAACAAAACACCCACAAAGAAACATAGAAGCCCCACTGCCAACTAGAGTTTCGAAAGTATAAGAGCAACACAAACAAAATGCAGAAGTATAAATGTAGCTGCCGTCAGAAGCAATTCTTATATATTACACTCTATAAACAAAAACTTTACATTAAAAAAGTCAATAAATAGTTAAAATGTTCAAATTAATCATTAGAATAAATAAGCAATGTATATTTGTTGTTAATGCATGTGAATTCATTTAAAGTTATTTAACTAAAACTATAAGGGGGAGGGGGGAACCTTTTCTTGTTATGTTTAGCTTGGGAATTATTTCATTGTTCAATCAAGATATTCTTCCGTTGCACTACAAGTGGTACAGTCACAAGGTGCTGTGCTAAAACACGTTTTTAAGGATTAAGAAGTGCAAAGAAGTTTGTTTAAGAGAAACTGCAACCCTTCAAGTTTATTCCTCTTGAGTTAGAGAGGCCAATGAGGTATGTGTCGTATGGTGTTAACGTATGTGAACATGTATGATTATGTGTCCGTATGTAATGTATAATTAGCCAATTAAGTGTATTTCTTTACATGTTGAATGTGCACTTTATCTTTTGGTTGTATGTATGTTGTTCATTACGTGCAACATCACCTTTAAGGGGTTAATTGAAGTTTATGTAATTCTTTTTATAGTTCTGATGGCAATATTGGGACATAAAGAAGTGCAAGGCTAGAATGTACAAGACATACTACAGGCTCGTGTCCGAATAAATGTCAGTTAAAATCAAGAACGACTGGAGCCTTTGTTTCATCTCGAGGGGAGTAAAAATAAATGCACAGCTCCAAGTCATGCACCGTGGGTTACGGAAATAACTCAACACAGAAGTGTAATTCAGCCTTAAGTCTTCAGCGTGCTTTAGAATGATGAGCATCCATTGTGAGGGTGGTGCAGGTCCAATTACGTCACCAAGCGATCTAGCCAACAGGATGAATGCAGGTTGTCTGTCGCTGGGGTCTTTGCAGAAATCAGACTTGAGCTTATCAATGACCACGACAACCATCTGCTCTGGATAAGGGTCAGATCCAAGATTATCTGAATCTTGGGATAAGGAAAGACAGACAAACATGAACATATATTCTTTGTTCTGATACAAAATTGCAATCGAATAATCATTTTGGATGAAAATATTTGTTTCTCTCTGCCTTTCTCTGTCTTTGGCTGCTTGCATTTCAAATGTAGCCTTTTCCAAAGTTCTATCCAATACCTTTTGTTTATGGACAACCAAATCATGCTTAGCCTGTGTGACTGTCCTGGTGTAATCTTTCATTTTCCCTTTAGCCTGCTTCCACAGACTTTCCCCTACTGAGTTCCAGCCTGTCCTGCTCTTATACTTTTTATCATTCCTGAAATGCCTCCAGCAGAAACGATACACTCTCAAGAGAATTCTCCAACCAGGTGTTTTTTATACCACAGTCTCTAAAAGAACTTTCTTGTTCATCTTTTGGAAATGCTAATATTGGTGAACAGGGTCCTTCTGAAAATTAATTTAACCCTGAAAACCACATTGTACATAATATTGTATTCCTTTACATGTGCTGAATCTTAAAGAATCTTAAAGCAAAAACTTAAAGTCTCTTGTCTCTTTCTCCCTTGTGGCTGCAGATTCCTCACTCTCCATATCTTTCATATCTGCCTCTGTCTCCTCCCTCTCTGTCTCCTTGTATTACCTTTTTACCTAGTCTGAATATTTTCTATTTCTGGCTCAGAATTATTTTGTTTAGTTTAATCTAGGGCAGAAAAGAGAAATAAAGAGTGATAATTAATAACAAACTGCAATCATGTTTTAAATACAATTACCAACCCCTTGCACTCTGAGTTTTTAATATTAAACATTTAATATTTTACAAAATAACCTTTGTTACGCATATTTACTGTATAATTTGTACACTTTTTAAAATTAAATTACTGGTATAACCGGTTGCTATAACTGGAACTATACAAGTATTATATTTTGACAAGCGGAATGCCTCAGTAAAATCAAAATCATTTGCGACTGAATCAGGAAGATTGGTATATACACATTTTTGTGTGCACATTTGTTTTATCTGAATTACACAGTTTGAGAAATAACGTTTAATGACCTTTAATTTGGCATTATGCTGAGCTTAGCCTTTATCTTCATTTAAGGCAATGGAAAAAAAACCTCTCTGGTTTGACAGATCTGACCTCGACGACACTTCCTCTATTCTACCTTGTTTGTATCAGACTTCTGTGCACCTGTGCATATTTCTTGTTTATAGTTATGCTGGAAGTATGTGGTGTTATAAATATGGGTAGAGTCCATTGAAAATTGGGTTGAGAGAATAGAGTCATCCGCATTTGTAAGTCGCTTTGGATAAAAGCGTCTGCTAAATGACTAAATGTAAATGTAAATGTAGAATGGAGTCTTAGCACTTGTTGAAAACTTCAATAACTTGTGGCTGACTGTGTGTTTTAATTAAATGAACAGGTGACAAGGGACAACAAGGAACTGATGGAATCCAAGGGTTAAAAGGAAAACCTGGTAAATGTCACCTGTTTTCTGATTTTGTAACACATCTATCTACAGTACATAAACATCAGTGAACAAACATTTTCATAATTATTATTACAGATGATCTAACACTGCCTAAAGACTGTACAATTTGTGTGACAGGTTCAGTTTGTGATTGTGGGAAGTACAGAAAAGTGATTGGACAGATGGACGCCAGTATAAGCAAAGTGAAAAACGCCATCAAGTTTATAAAGAAAGGTAAGACTTGTGTGTTGAATTAATCAGATTTGCTTATGTGGTGGACATTATATAAATGTTCAAACTATCTATCTATCTATCTATCTATCTATCTATCTATCTATCTATCTATCTATCTATCTATCTATCTATCTATCTATCTATCTATCTATCTATCTATCTATCTAACTATCTATCTATCTATCTATCTATCTATCTATCTATCCATCCATCCATCCATCCATCCATCCATCCACCCGTCCGCCCACCCGCCCATCCATCCATCCATCCGTCCACCCGTCTGTCTGTCTGTCTGTCTATCCATCCATCCATCCATCCATCCATCCTTCCATCTATCTATCTATCTGTCTATCTATCTATCTATCTATCTATCTATCTATCTATCTATCTATCTATCCATCCATCCATCCATCCATCCACCCGTCCGTCCGTCCGCCCACCCGCCCATCCATCCAACCATCCGTCCACCCGTCTGTCTGTCTGTCTGTCTATCCATCCATCCATCCATCCATCCATCCATCCATCCTTCCATCTATCTATCTATCTATCTATCTATCTATCTATCTATCTATCTATCTATCTATCTATCTATCTATCTATCTATCTATCTATCTATCTATCTATCTATCCATCCATCCATCCATCCACCCGTCTGTCTGTCTGTCTGTCTGTCTGTCTGTCTATCTATCTATCTATATATCCATCCATCCATCCATCCATCCATCCACCCGTCTGTCTGTCTGTCTGTCTGTCTGTCTGTCTGTCTGTCTGTCTGTCTGTCTGTCTGTCTGTCTGTCTGTCTATCTATCTATCTATCTATCTATCTATCTATCTATCTATCTATCTATTTATCTATCTATCCATCCATCCAACCGTCTGTCTGTCTGTCTGTCTGTCTGTCTGTCTGTCTGTCTATCTATCTATCTATCTATCTATCTATCTATCTAATGTATGAAGAGTTCAGATGCAAAAACCTTTAAGTGCCGGCTGAAACTTCTGTTGAAAATGAACATTTTTCTCAGCTTTTTTTGTTTATGTTGATTTATTTTACTTTAAAGACCATGGAAATAACTTTTTTTTTTTTTTGCCATAAAATGAAAATTACTGAACCTACACATAGGAGCCTGATAAAAATGTTAATTTTAGAAGAACATTTCAGATGGCATTTAAAGGTTTTTGCATTTGAACTCTCTCTATCTACACTGTTAAACTCAAAAAGTTAAGGTAACCCAAACCGTTCGAGGAAACTGATTGCAACAAACCATTTAAGTTAAAAAATAATCCTTATGAGTACTGTGAACTTACTCCATTTGAGTAAACGAAACAATTTAAGCACAGTAAAACCTGATAAATGAAGAGAGCCCAAACCAATAAGTCAAGGCAACTCAAACCATTTGTGAAAACAGATTGCTACAAACCATTTGAGTTAAAAAAAAAAAAAGTAATCTATATGGGTACTGTGAACCTATTCAATTTAAGTAATGAAGTATTTAATTGACTCATTACCTTCAACACTGAGTGCAAAACTTTTTTCAAATGAGTAGAATTAACATTCAGTAAGTTTTGAGTTAACTACACTCATTTCATTTGATAAAGTTGACTGTTGGATTTTGCAGTCTATCTGTCTGTCTGTCTGTCTGTCTGTCTGTCTATCTATCTATCTATCGATCTATCTATCATCTATCTTTGCAATACCTGATAAGTAACTACTATCAAAGTATTTAATGTGTTTATACAATATGAAAAGGCTATTTTTGGCTCAGGTGGACAAACTAACAGTATTAATAACCGTAGATGAGCTTACCAACATCTCCACTCCTTATTGCATGTCACAATTGTTTTCACTGAAAACACACACAAATGTTTACAAGACACTAACTACTGTTATGTTTTGTCAATTACTTTTAAAGTGGTTCTAGGTATCAGGGAGACTGAGAACATGTTTTACCTGCTTGTTACGGAAGCGCGGACGTATCAACAGTCACTTTTGAACTGCAAGTTGCGTGGTGGGACTCTTGCTATGTCCAGGACCGAAGAGAAAAACAACTTGTTGGCCAACTTTATCAAAGAGGCTGATCTTAATCACGTGTTTATAAGATTACAGGCAGGGGTAACAGAGGTGGGGTACATGTACTTGAATGGTAACCCTCTCTTAAATACCACAGCTTGGGCAATTCAGGGGGCAGACAGTGGTAAAGGTGACTGTGTGCAGCTTGGTAGAACAGGAGCCTTGAGCCAGGTAGACTGTGGAGCCACACAGTACTATATATGTGAGTTTGTAAAAAACAATGACACTACAAAAAATTCAATCGTGTGATGATTCATAGGTCATAGTGGAAACCCTTAATTATTATTATTGTTGTTTACAATAATAATAATAATAAAAATAAAAACATTAATAAGGTGACACTTTACAATAAGGTTTGATTAGCTAATGTTAGTTATGTATTTACTAGCATGAAGTAAGAATGAATAATACTTGTACAGAAATGAAGCATATTTAATGTTATTTTCAACCATATTAAATGTTTTATTAAAATCCAAATGTGTGCCTGTTAATGTAAGCTAATGTACTTAAAACAATGACTAAAGTCCTTAAAACAAGAACTAACAGTAAACAACTGTATTTTCATTACACAGAAATTGTACATTTTTTATGTTAAGCTGTATACACGATTAGTGTTTTACCTTTTGTTGTTTTTATTGATATATTATTGTGTACAGTATTATTATTATACACTACTGATTAGACTGAAATTATTGTAGATTTTACAGTTTTTGTAAGTGTCAGATCCTAAATAAAATTCTACTTGTTCAACTTTCACATCATTTAGTCACTGTGCACATCAAAAAAGCACTTTCTTATTCTTTTGACTAATGTGTGAATGCATTGGTATATTCATCCAACTAATAGTTTTCAGTCACGTGATCTGTGCAAAGGCTGGTGGGCAAAAAAAAAAAAACAACGGGCCATAATGGCGGTGTAATGTGAAATGGGACGCGGACAAGGAACTGATGATCCTAACACAAGTTTCATTATGCAGAGAATGGTGAGGCAAGCAACAGTTAACACAGGAGTAAACAGATGTATACAGACAATCCAGAATCATAGTCAATATGCAGGCGGATGATCAAAGTCAGACAGCAGACATGAATAAACAAACAAAACAAAGCAAAGATCAGTACACAGTTAGACTAGGCAAGGCAAATGCAACGTAATGTTCACAATAACGTATAACAAGACTGAAGTCATGAGATTCACAAAGTGAGCCATAAATATGTTTGTTGTAATCAGTCCTTGAGCAGCATCAGCTGTGGGAGTGTAATCAATGGAGACTTGGAGCAGGTGTGTGAATGTTGCATGACTCGATCTTGTAGTCCATATACCAGCAGATTTGTAGTTCTCCAGCAATCTGCATAGGCTAGATCAGCCTGATCTCACGAGGAAATGTAAGTATTTTACTTTTTGTCAGTTTAGTGGCTAGTTCGTACAAATTCGAACAAGTTCAGTCATACGAAAATGTATGATTTTAAAAAAGAGACGTGGTACCCAACACCACCCCTAACCCCAACAGTCATTGGGGGATGAGCAAATCGTACTAAATTGTACAAATTAGATCATACGAATTCATACGAATTAACCACTAAATCAAAAAGTTTCAAATTGCCATGAGATTGCATTGGCTAGATCACTGGGGACTGTGACAGGCAGCAACACTGGGATCTCCATAGAAATGCAGCACAATCCGGTCGTAAATATGACTAGTTTGTCCTGCATTTCTACGGAGATACTAGTGTATGAATGAGGATTCCAAGCTATAAATATCAGGATCACCTATCATTAAAACAAAACAGAGATTATCACAAACTGTATATTGTGGCTACTTGCAATCCATGTTGTTTAAAACAGTTGTTTTAAACAAACATGTACTGGTCAGAGCTCCAATTCGGTTATTTTTTATTTACCTTTTGGATATTCCTCAGCAATTTAGTTATTATTGACTGCGTTATAGCTGCATTTGTTGAATATAAGTGACATTGCATCTACTTGCCAACTAATTCTCATTAGATCAGTTGACTGTTGTCAGTAGACTGAGTGTAAGTGCATGTACTTGCGAAGTTTCTTATAGTCAGTAATGTCCGTTGAAGGAGCAGTATCATCATATATATTTAGCAGACAGTCTACTAATACTCAACTGGACCATCAAAATAAAGTGTTACCAAATCTAGTCATTCACTTCTGCTATTTTATACTTTGACTTTACATTTAAATTTATTCTTTAATTGCACTTAACCAGCAATTCCAAATAGAAACAGTATAAAAAGCATATCCAATCGCAATGATATAACATAGATTGTTATAAAGCCACAGTCACACTAGACTTTTCATTCTATTGACATTTATATGTGTGAAAAAATGCATCAGACGTAGATTCATGAGACCAATAAAAATAAAAAAAACATGATCCCTTTGTACAAAAATTTAAAACACTGAAGAACTGTTTATTTTAGTAGTGTTGTTTCATCCTGCCCCTTTTTCGTAGCACCGCTAGAACAAATGTTGCATGCTCAAAGTCTAGTGTGGCCCTGGCTTTTATCATTCAATTACTTGTCAATAAATTTGAATAGTTGTCAAAAATTGTCAACCATGTTTTCTACACATTCATTCATTTTCTTATCGGCTTTGTCCATTTTTTAATCTGGGTTGCCACAGCAAAATGAACTGCCAATCTATTCAGCATATGTTTTACACAGCGGATGCTCTTCCAGCTGCAACCAATAACTGGGAAACAGCCATACACACTCATTCACACACACACTACAGACAATTTAGCCTACCCAATTCACCTACTATATGTTTTTGGACTTGCTGGGGAAACCAGAGCACCTGGAGGAAACCCACAGAACACGGGGAGAACATGCAAACTCCACACAGACATGCCAGCTGACCCAGCCAAGGCTCGAACCAGCGACCTTCTTGCTGAGAGGCGATCGTGCTACCCACTGCGTCACTGTGCAGTCCCCGTCATCACTATTTACTCAGATTTTTGAGTAAACAGTAAGCCCCGCTGGCAACACCATAATGCTGCCATCTCTCTAAGCCTCTGCTTTCTATGCGTTCTGCTTTTGAAATAATGAACTTGAGCTAAGTTGTGAGTGCATGAGTTGAGCTATGTCTTCTTAATTTTCTGTGTCATTATTTTTAGAACAAAGCATACTAGTAAGAGGCCAGACATTTAGTGGTGAACAATTAAAGGCCCTTGAGGGCAGGCATTTTGAGGAACCAGGAAATATGATAGTCAGTTTTATGTTAGCTGAGTAGGAGAATAAATTGAAGTTAAGATATGTAAAAGAATAACGCTTTTTTTTTCAAATTAGGCATGAGCACGCATTGTTTTCCACACCATAAACACAACTAAGCCTATTTTTCACCAATCTGATATGAATACAGGTTCGATTCAGTACATTTGAGAATATATCTTTATCTGTTGTGTTTATTATGGAGTGGTGCTGGAGTGTGCTTGGAGTGAGAGAAAACCATGATGCTCTGACTTTCAAAAATCCGTCCTCAGTCCTGCCAAAATTACACCACCCCATTCTTGACAATCTGCTTTGCTCACACACTCTACGCATTAGGGTTGGAAATAGACTTGTAAAACCATTACTGGAGAATATTTGCACTTACTGAAAGGTGCAGTTGGTGATTGTCTTCAAAAACATTTTTTGTTGTGCTGGTTGAAAGTCTCTTCATAGTCTAATAGTAATGATTAAACTAAATGATCTAAATGTATTTATATGTATTTTTATATTTTGGGTAAGGCATAAAACTAAAAAATGTTCAACCAATTATATAGAGTCAAACCGACATGTCTCATAATTCTGATAAGTAGCCGAATCTGTCTGTCAGCAAATGCAGATTTGAACAACTGCGCAGCCGTTTGTACGCAGCTCTGCCGACCGCCTCGCATTCAGGAGAGGGAGAGAGAGCATGTGTGCGATCGGTAAAAACCTGCTGAATCAAAACTTTTGAAAAACCTGAATCAATATTGGAGTTACCTTTACACGCTGGAGAAAAGATGACACCATGGCTGAAGGATTTCTCTTAGACAGGTAATGTTCTGTTTTAAAACTGTTTTAGCTTCACGCAAAGCTGATGTAACCTTAGATGTTGTTGCAAATGGGTTATATCTTCACAAAAGTGTTGTTCAGCCACTAAAATCTTCCAATGAAAGATTGATAAGACTATTTTCAGTTTCATAAGGAACCTTTTACAGCATCGATAATGTAGATTTGATTTAGTTTAACACCAAAACGCAAGTAAATACCGCTATTCTGCCTTGTCTCTCCCTATATTGTTTACCATGCAACTCTAAATATTCGTTCTAAAATAACATGTCAGTTTGGCTTGCTCGCCACCGGACAAGCACTAGTCGCTTTTAACACATGAGGGGTTCTTTTGCGGTGCTCGTATTTAAGGAGGCGTGGCTCTAGACGGCAGGGGAGGAACTGTGATTCAGAGATTTATGCTAAGCTGTTAGCATTGTGGAAGATCACCTACAGCACCTTTAAGCCACATACCTACTTTTTAGATATAAGAGAATAATTTAACATGTTGTATTAACCCATCAACCCATTTTTATTATTATTAAGGTTCTGTACTTTCAGTAATGTCTTTGCTTAATCATTAAATAATTTGAATCAATTTATTATTATTTTATTTATTATTTCTCATTATGGGCGAAGCAGTGGCGCAGAAGGTAGTGCTGCCGCCTCATAGCAAGAAGGTCGCTGGGTCACTGGTTCGAGCCTTGGCTCAGTTGGCGTTTCTGTGTGGAGTTTGCATGTTCTCCCTGCCTTCGCGTGGATTTCCTCCGGGTGCTCCGGTTTCCCCCACAGTCTAAAGACATGCGGTACAGGTGAATAGGGTAGGCTAAATTGTCCGTAAGGGGATGAGTGTGTGTGTGTGTGTGTGAATGTTTCCCAGAGATGGGTTGCGGCTGGAAGGGCATTCGCTGCGTAAAAACTTGCTAGATAAGTTGGCGGTTCATTCCGCTGTGGTTAATAAAGGGACTAAGCCGACAAGAAAATGAATGAATATATCATTATCTCTACAGATGGCGATGCTGTTCCCAGCAGACAGAACTGTATGCTTCTATGCTAACATTAATAATAAGTCTCACATGTCAATCTAAACATATCGGTAGCTCAAATAAATTTCACCTCTATATAATTTGTTTCAGCTTTTCAGCAATCCACTTAAACCATTTATCATGGTTTAGTAGTTTGTGGTGTATTGATTTAATTAAAAACATGGAATTTATTAAACAAAGAGTTCTGTCAGAGACCATACACATATTTTATGACTCCAACCGTTCAAAGAAATACACAGTATCTGAGCTGTTTCTTTGGTATGTTTAACTTAAGCATATTCATTAATTATTAACCGAATTGGTGAAATGGCGACATGACAAAAGACTAAAGAGTAATAGCAATAATAGTAGTAATATTGATAATACTAAAAAATGCCAAAAAAAATTAGTAAATCTGGGAATCTCATTTAAATTTGAAAAAGTCAACCACATGAAATCAAACTGCATGCCCTCAATAACAGGGGTTTGGCTGAACTGTGGACAGAACAGAATGGGAGCGGCCACACTGACCTGTCAAACCTGTTCCTGATGGGCACGACTCCAACATGATTCTCTTACAGTATGTGTTAGTCCTTTGTTCAACCTGGGACTGTCCAGCTTGATCAGGAATGGCAGAAACAACGAACCCAGCCGCTACTTCGTTTCCAGCACCGACTATTTCTTTGCCTCTTGGTGTGGAAATATTGAGGACGTATTCTGGAGCCCTTATTTGTTTGGAAATTGTAAGTGTTGCTGTTTATATTGATTTCAGAACTCACTGGGTTAAAACTGTATCATTCATAATTAATGATTAATTTTGATTTGATTAATACAACACACACTTTTATATTTGGAATTCAAAGTAAAAAGCAGTTTATTGAGTATTTTACTACTCTAAGATTACAGATTACTAGATTTATTATGTATGTACACACCAATTCTAGTATTTTAAATCTTTGAAATGAGATTACCTGTTAGTTAACTGTGGTTTAATAGTAAATGTACATGATGGAACATTATTGCTTATTTCCCTTCTCTTTTTTCCCAATCAATAGGTGTTTGGAGCACTGGTGTGGATTTTAGTAGCATCGACAAACGTGTCTGTGCCACTGTTGCAGGGATGGGTGATGTTCGTGTCAGTGACCATGTTCATTTGTTCATCTGCATACCTTGTCTTGTTTCTGCTGGGGTTGGCTGACAAGATTAACACCGACTGGAATTTCATAGTGAGTTTGTATTACTTTACAGCTCTGCAGATCACAGTGTAGATTGCTAGACATTAATTATCAGGAAAGTTCCAAAAGTACAGTGTGGGTTAGCACAGGTCTCAAGGTGACAGACTTGCTAGAACCGGAAATACCAGTACTTGGAAGATTTGCTTAAGGTCATTTTTTACAGGTCACTTTATAAGACAGGATTTGATGTTAAATCAAAACGTTCATTATTTTTGTAATATGTTTGTCACTTTAAAACCTTGTTGGAAACTATGCCTTTTATTTTGACTTTATTTTTGTAAAATTGCATTTAAAGGTAAAGCAAGTTTATCTGTGTACTCAGAAATTGTAATTATTTAAAGAAATATTCGTTTAACAAAGTTTTTTTTCATAATAATTTTAATAACTAATATCTAATAAATTATTTGTTTCATTTATATATTTGATATATATTATTATCAAATCAAATCAGGCCTTTATTTGTCTCAAACACTTTCGTATAGTGAAATTGAACCCCCCCCGACCATGCACAAACATCACAATTTTCAGGGAAAGACAGGTCACAGGAGCTAGCATTTAGAAGGGGAAGTAAGATACATCTGGACAGTTAGGCCAAAAAAACACCCTCTCAGCTTGCTCTTGATTAGGGCAAAGTGAGAACAGGGAGGAAAAACACAGCCTTATCTTGGCATAAGCACACCGGCAAGACACTATTATTATATTATATTTAGCTAAAATATAAAAACAGCTTTTATTCTAAAATAAAAAAGACTTTCCCCCCAAAAAAACAAATATTACCGTAAAATTCTGTGAAAATATTCTTGCTGTTAAAAATCACTTGGCAAATGTTTGAAAAATAATTAATTGAATTGAATATTGAATTCCTTCAAACTGTATGTTCTGTTGACCCCCCCCCCCCCACCACCTTCATTTGTTAGTATGTAGCTTTAATAGCACATAAAAATAGTGATTTTTCGTCTTATATGTGGTGCGAATTCACTACAGCCAACAAATTAGCCCCATGTTAAAAATGTACAAATATTCTCTCTCTGTACAGATCCTCATGCTAAGTCTATGCTAGCCTACCATTTTAAAATTGCACAGCACTATCCCTGATTATATCACCTATTAAAGTTGTCTATTTATTTATTTATTTATTTATTTTTACTATCTTATTTTATAACATTTTGCAGTTTTTTTCTCGATAATTTTACTATTTTTTTTGCATTACTGTCAATATACTAGGTTGTGTATCTAGGGTTTGATGAAGTGGTTATATATATACCACTATATATATATATATATCTTTGTATATACAATGACTTCTGTACTTGGTATAAAAATAAAGGGAAAAAACTTTTATTGTTTATAAAATGTATCATTATAAATAATTTTAATAAATTATATTATTCTAGTGACAGCCTAAGCTGACAATAATAGTGCAATAAGTTTAATATTCACATAAAAATGAGTTTAAAGTCAGTGGGAGATATTCAAATATTATATTTAATACATCTTGTAGTGTTATATTTAGCATTAAGTCCTTCTTGTTGTTTCTTAGGCCCTGTTGGAATAGGGAACATTTATTTTTAACACAGTTTTGTATGCCAAAAATTAGGTCCTTGGCCTTAGCAAGATTTTGGAGTCAATAAGCAGTTTGCCATGCACGAGTACCGTCTCTACACCATCATTCATTTTCATGGTTTACCAAGTCATGGTCTAAGTAAAATATTTGTCAGTATTTAATTAAAAGTTAATCATAGTTCAGTTATTTAAACAACTGTATTGCTCTTTTTAATAGGTGTTCAAATTTAAAACTCAAAAACATTTACCCTTGTTACGTGAATCTTTTTTATTGCTTTTCCTTTGCTCACAAATGAAATTTTGATGATTATTTTTCATGTATCATTGTTAAATTTGATATATTTTTCTAATATCATCTTACAGTAAATGCAAATAAAATTTTTTTTTGATCTGTTTAATGATAAACTCAAATTGTCATTCCATTGTGTACAGGACATGTTCTACCATTTCATCGCTTTGCTGTTTTATTTTGGTGCATTTTTACTGGAAGCTACAGTTTCTTCTTCTGCGGGTGTATATGGAAACACCACATGTATACAGAAACCCCGTGGCAATATAATAACATTTATGGATCATCGAGAACACAACATTAATGTTGCAGCTACGGTGAGTTAATGGTACATTTCTAATTCCTTTCTGCTTTATATTGTAATGTTCAGAAAAAGACGTTTTTGTTTTGCACATTCTATAACTGTTTTTCAAGTTTTAGTTAGGTAATGGTTTCAGATAAATGTTTAAATTGCACACCAAACACTCACTCACTACCAATTTATTGTGGTTACAACAGGAGAATCAATGGTGTTTTAATAAGACAAGAAACTTATGACTAAAACTTCGATATATGAGTCTTAAACAACACTGGCCTCAGATTATTAGTGAGCAGACGTTTTATAAAGCTTTTATGGTGCTCAATTTTGATGCCGTTTGTTTGATTTGATGTCATGTGTAAACACTGAGACTCCTAGATCAGTCAAATTATACATTGTTAGTTGTCAAGCAGAAGTGCTGAACCACATTAATGCCTTTATGAGCAGAAAGAAGCCAGTGCTGAGTGTCAGTTGAGTTGCTGTTGTTGTGTTAGTCAAAGATGTGCAATCAAAGTCATGTTTAAATGTGTATGTCTGTGTATCTTACAGGATGTATATAACGTGCTTATTCCTTTCTTCACAGATATTTGCATTCATAGTGACTGCATGTTACGCCTGTAGCATGATCATGGGCTTCAGGAGATGGAGAAAATAGTCCACAATGGAGCATACATGACCAATTCATGAGACTAATGTCTTCAAACGTCAGCTGGTGGTCAGAGAGGACCTTTATTTTCCAGCAGTTATTGAGTTGGTGTTTAGATTTATTTTTATTGTTAATATGTTCAGTATTTATTATTATGAATATTTATATTAATATAACTTTACATTAATTTTAATTATATTGTTTATATTCCTAAAATCGCCACTGAACAAATGTCAGGTGATATGTGCTGGATATATGTGTCTGTGTGGGGGAAGGGCAACTTTGGTCCTTGAGGGCCATTGACCCTTTTTACTTATCTGGGTTTCTTAGCAGTGGAAGTCAACATAGTTAAAACTCAGTGAATTGGAGAGTACAACAGATACATGTTTTGCATTCCTATTTGTTCAAATAATAAAAGTAAAAACTCAACAATAGTGTTATCAAGGCTTTTAGAAAAAGGAAAACATGTTGTGTGAGACTGATAATGGCAACCAGAAGAGAGAACAATTTCAAATGTACTCTATTGCCCAAAGGCGCTGCATTAAAAGCACCTAGTAAAAGCGATTAGTTTTTTTGTAAATTGAGCCAAAGTTGATATAATGCAAAGTATGTAGTTGAGTTTTTTAAACTTTTAATGATTTAAGATGCTGTTGACTGTTAGGGTGTACTCACACTAAGTACAGTCAAGTGGTACTCACTGCAGAGCAACTTGGGCAGAGCTGAGCTCCAGTAAGGGGAAGCTTGAACTCCAGCTCCTCCTTCCTTGCACTTCTTCTACAAGTGATGTCAGGGGGTTAGGGGTGGGTGTTAGCATTACAACAGCATTAAGGAGGAGGAGTTAGAGCTCAAGCGCCCGCCTCATTGGAGTCCAAGTGGCTCTGCAGTGAGCAGTGTCTCAGTACAGTTGCCTTGAACCGGCCGAAGCAAGCTTGTCCACCCTCCCATCTCCTCCGACGTCCAGCACTCACATTACATTCACACCTAAGCACTTACGTCATCGATAATGCGCTGTTCAGTTTAAGACGTGCTGTCGCTCAGCACAGTGGAGATTTCTTTTTCATTTTAGTCATTTGGGATGCAGTGACACGCAGTCAAATATTTCGCCGAACAGGTCTGCCACTTTTGACGCTCATAAACAATCTTAGGCCCCGTTTACATTGCCATTAAAATGTGACCCAGTTCCGATTTTTTGCACATATGTGACACAGATCAGATCTGTTCTATGACTGTGTAATCATGAAAAAAGTGCATGCATTCGGATATTCAGAGATCGGTTTCAGGCCTCCTTCATATGTGGAAATAAATCAGATATAGATTGGATATGTGACAATGCGACTGACATTAAACAGGCAGATCGGATTTATTGAGGCACTGCATTCTGTACATCATTAAACTTGTGACAATGTGATGCTTCTCCGCGGTTTAATGACAGAAAGAAGAGCGTATGTGGAGATGTCTACGCGGTAAACAACATCAGAGGAAACACAGAGGAGGAAAGTGGTCAGTCGCCACAATTTGCTCCCACCAGACCTGAGATCTCTCTCATACCCACAAATTCCTCAGAATGGTGGATGACATCATTAAGGCATATAAACCATAAGTGAAGTTTATGTATAAACAAATTTCGAGAGGATCAAGTGCTTATGATTGCTAGCGGCTGGATCCGCATTATCCATTTCACTACGCTCCAATCAGATGACTCCTAAACTACTATAAATTCCCTGGGTTTTATTCCATTGCTATCTTCGTTTTGAAGAGTCCCCCCTTCCACCCCTACTCCTCCTTCTTAGATGGGTGACACGGTGGCCCAGTGCGTAGCACTGTTGCCTCACAGCAAGAATGTCTCTGGTTCCAGGCTTTACCAAACCAGCAGACATTTCTGTGTGGAGTTTGCACTTTCTTCCCGTGCTCACGTGGGTTTCCCCCGGGTTCCCCGGTTTCCTCCCACCGCCTAAAAACATGCAATTAAGTGAATTGAATAATCTAAATTGGCACCATAGATATGCTTCTAGTACGTAGTTATCTTCAAGAGCAATCACTTACTGTTCATTGGTTACTACAGCAGGGGAGTTCTCGAGATCTACCTGAGCTCAAACTCCCCTCCCGCCTTGCAACGGGAAGGAGCCCTGGGCTCGAGGATCTCATGAGCTCAGGGCTCTCTCCCGGGACAGCATGCCAAACAAGCTTTTATAATTAATCATCAGCTAAGTGTGAACTCTTAAAGCTCAAGCTGCGGTGACGGCCATTTCCCAGCTTCCCGCCTCAAAATCATTTTAAAGTTGGGCGAACTTCGTGTTGTAACTTTTGCTTTTTGTCGCTATTAATACACGCACAGCGGGCTACACATAGAACAACTTTATTATCTCCAACATCAGTGCACACACAGGCAAAAGCTACATCTTGAACTACACACACAGCTCAGGGCTATACCACTACATAACCTGCATGGGGGTAAATCTGGACCAAACCATTCACTGCTTATACTACACTTCGCATATTTCGCACAGCTAAATACAAGACAATTTCTTCCATCGTGGCTAGTGTGGCACAGATGCTAGAAACTGCCTTTATGCATGCGCGACATGAATTGTATGGCAAGTGTAAACGCATGAATTGGATATGGGTCACAATTAAAACAACGTGTAACCAGACATGCAAACAAATCAGATATAGGCAACAAATTGGAATTGGGCATCAAGACCTGGCAGTGTAAACAGGGCCATAAAGTCCTTTTGCTGCAAGAATTATGAGGTTTGCTAAAGCTACAGCTGTCATGCAGTAAGGGGTTTGCATCTTTAATAATTTACGGCAGTTTGCGTTCATTGAAGAGTAAGAATGATTAATAAATCCATATCAAACAAGCCCTTAAAAGTCACATCTCGTCTTCAGTGAACCACACTCTGGCACACCTCTTCCAACCAGGCCAGAGCCGGCCAACTGAACCGTGCCTGAGCCCGATTCAAAGCACTCACACTTCTCAAACGATCTGGAAAATGGGTCTGGGCACGGTTCGGATAGCATAGTGTGAGTACGCCCTTAAATGAGTCATAACCATCTTGTGAAATGGTTTCTTGTCCTACAGAGATCCTACAGAGACTAATCAAACACTTGAACAAGCTAATCAATAGCCACTGTTACACTGTCAGCGAGGCCACAAGCAATGAGGCCAAAACCATGCCATGTTTCAATTGTAGGGCCAATAGCTCACAATGCAGCATGACAACCCCACCCTAAGTATGCCACCAGAATCAAAAGACAAACAACCCACTCAGATCATAAGAAAAAAGTCTAATTAGAATCACATACAGTAGATAAAGCACATCATCTCATCATAAAACAATCAAGATGAAGACAACTGAAGCGAATAAAATATATGTGTGTGTAAAGTATATATAGATAAATCATTTAACACTACAGTAAAGTAATTTATTCTCTTCAGTTGTCTTCATCTTGATTGTTTTATAATGAGATGGTGTGCTTTACCTATGTGATTTGACTTTTTCGTGTGTTCTGAGTGGGTTGTTTGACTTTTGATTTTAGTGGCATACTTACTGTCTCTAAAGTTAGTTGGCATTGTGTTAGTTGCCGTTTTTGAACACTGCTCTGACCATTGTTTTAGTTGCCGTTGTGAACACTGCTCTGACCATGAGGAATCTTAATAGCTTTATACTGTTTATATCTGTAGCTTCCTTAATTGGTAGCAACATTTTTTTAAACATCCTCTTTCGGCAGATGTCATCAAGTCTCGTTCAGACCCCTGAAGGGTGACTGGCTCAGGCACTGCTTGATGCCGTGTTCACGCTCCACAATTTTACCCCAGATTTTCACTCACAGACAGGTTTTGTTAACTCGCAGACAAATGCCCAAAATCAGAAGCCCAGTTTAAATTATCAAAGATGTGGTCTTAGAGAATTGCACATGTGTTGTTGATGTCCGTGAATATTTGTCAGGCTAAATATCTGGACCTGTTGGCGATTCAAAACCATGCTTCTGTGAAATGAGTACTGACTGAAAAACACATCGGGCGATGACCTACAACCAATGAGAGAGCAAGAGACAAGGCAGTGGGGAGTTCTGAGAGGAGTTGCAAATCACAATCTCAGAATAATTAAGCTTAACCATAACATTTAACAGAAACAAACAAGACACATTTGCTTGACCAGCTGCAGCAGGAAATTGCATAATTATTTATTGACCTCCAACTCTTTGCAGAACACACAATCCTAATTCCCTGTATATCCCCACCATTTTTTCCTCTACAATATTTAGTCCTTTTTTGCTCTTACCTGCAAAATGGCACACAGAACATTTGCATGGCAAATTATTAAAAATACTTATTGCAAAGTACCATTTTCGGTCTTTGGAACTTTTTAGGACCACATTTGCCCTTCCCTGGTCTATACCTATGTTTCAGGTTCAAAATGTAACTGTCACCCTGATGACATTAGAAGCTGATGTTTGGGGATGCACAACCACTCAACTGTCAGCACGGAGATTAAAATGTTCCCCCATGGCATGTCTCTGGGTTGGGAGAGCACACACTTCTGTAAGGACAAAAGTTCTCTTTTGAGAGACGCTAGTCTGAGAGAATGGTTTTTATTTGATGCCCTAACTTGTGATAGGTACTCTTGTCTGTTGTTTATCTTGTTTAAGGTGTGTGCTAGAGTTGCTTATCAAATCACTCAGTTAAAGTGCCTCCTATTATAAATGGGAGACTTACATGCACTGATGTGCATACAAGGTCAAAAACACTTTCATTAGCCCCTTTCACACAGTGATACCGGAAAATTCCGGAATGCCTTGTAATGTAAATTCAAAAAAGCAATGTTTACACAGGTAATTTTTCCGGAAAAGACCGTTCACACATGCATTCCAAAATACTAGTAAATTCTAACATCCTTAATCAGAAATGAGCTCTAAACGGCTGCGCTTGTATTTGTAAACATTTGACTACATTACAAACTCTGTGGATGGATCAGTATTGTGAACAACTTTGATGAAAACATTTAGAGGAACACTTTCACATGTTGAGATGTACATAATATGTGTGTGTGCTGGCGCTCACTGGCTGCTTCACATGCACACAGACGTCAAGCAACTGAAGGAAGCAGAGCTTGAAGGTAAACAAACAGCGGTTTATCATAAGCATCTTATCGATAATTATTTACACAGTTGGCATTAAGAAGGAGCTTAGAAATGTGATCTGACTAACATCTAGCAGCTAAACGTGTCTGGAAAAATAATCAAAGGCTTTTACTTTGATAAACAGAGAGGATGTGAATGCGTCTGAATGTTCTGATTAGTAGACCGCTCACGTCGGCACGCTCTTTCCGGCAATCTTCCTTCTGCGTTCACACAGCGCAGCATTCTGGCAAATTACCGATAATGTTACTACTTCTCTTTCCAGAAAATAGCTGGAACAAATTTAC